AGGCAGTGAGTTCGACTTTCTGCCTGGAACATATCCTAGCTTGTCGGTATTTACTAGCCACCCACCTCTACCCACTAGGGTAGATGTGGCACAAGGCCGAGTTTAACGTGGGTCTCCCGAGCGGTAGTCTCGACCAAAAATATTCCCTTTTGAATCCGTATAAACGGGTTCAGGGCCAGTCTACCTCCCCGAACGAGACTCTTCCCTTCGGTAGAGCCTCGTGCGGGTTCCTCTCTGCTCAGAAGCAAAGAGTTCGAACGTCTAGCTGGAACAGATCCCAGACAGTAAATATTTACTAGCCTCCGCCACGAGGGTAGATGTGGTACAAAGACGGGTTTAACGTGGGTCTTCCGAGCCCATAGGCTCTGCAAAAAATAAACGTTGGCCAACCTCCCCGAACGAGACTCTGCCCTTCGGCTGAGCTTCGTTCGGGTTCCTCTCTGCCCGAAGGCAGATAGTTCGACCGTCTAGCTGGAACAGATCTAAGCTAATCAGTATTTATTAGCCCCCAACCAAGAGGGTAGATGTGGCACAAGGCCTAGTTTAACCCGGGTCTTCCGAGCCGGTTCAAAAAATGCCCGTACGTCCCGCATAAACAGGATTGGGTTGGTCAACCTTTCCGAACGAGACTCTGCCCTTCGGCTGAGCCTCGTCCGGGTTCCTCTCTGCCCGAAGGCAGATTGTTCGGCCGTCTAGCTGGAACAGATCGCAGTTAGAATATTTACCTCCCCCCCCACACACACGCAAACACGAGGGTTGCATGTGGCACAAGGCTGGGTTTTCCGTGAGTCTTCTGAGCCCGTAGACTCTGCCAAAAAATGCCCGTAGAACCTGCATAAACGGGATTGGGTTGCTCAACCTTCCCGAACGAGACTCTGACCTTCGGCAGAGCCTCGTCCGGGTTCCTTTTGGCTCGGACTGTTCGACCGTCTAGCTGGAACAGATCGCAGCTAGTCTCTGTAGTCTCTTTACAACCTGCATGGCACATATTTAGTGCTAGATTGTATACACCATACTATGATGTATACAAGAGGCATGGCACGCGGAACTAGAACAATCCGGTGAACGAAATAAAGAGTTCGGTTCTATCTCTCTTATAGGATGTTACCTTAGGATTAAAATATTGATAAGAATATATTTTCTGTTTTTATTTTCTTTTGCAAACAAATTCAATCTAATTTGCATATTTCTTTTTAGTTCTCTGTCTATTCTTGTTTACACATAATCACGTTGGATTTATGCATCTATTCATCAAGCCATTGTATATCTCTCTTATAGGATGTTACTACCTATAGTGCAGTCACTCATGAGGGTGACATGTTATTCCATTGCATCATTTACCATATTTCGCTGCGTCAATCTCAATGGAAAGATTACAAAATCTCTCTCTTTTTCTATTTTTTTGTATTAGTGCTTTTATTTAGTGCTATATTCATCTTATAATGGTTTGCACAGTTACCAACGTAATACCGTTCCTGACCTATCAGGGTTGCTTTTATGTTTTTTTTTGTTTTGTTTTTTGTTTTTTTTATTCAAGAGTAGAATTTGTAACTTTGCTAGCATTTGTCGATATGTTGCCCTGATATAAGTGATCAAGATGTATTTATTTGGGTTGTAGTGATAAGAAATATTACTATTTACAAAGATTAGCTTAGGACCGATACTAGGCCAATTGGATGGGGACGGATTGGGGCAGAATGTTTCACGCCAATCTTTAAAATGGACAGCGTTTGCCTGTCGAAAGAATCAGCCTTATCATTCCAGGCTTTCAACTCGACTAAAACGTGAATTCTGTTGTAGAACAATCACGCAGTCAAGATAAACACTCAGTGTGGAACAAGCTGAGTGAATTGACACTCCACCTTGAGAAAGAGAGCTATTTATGGTGCCATGGAGCATCTCATTGTGCTCAAGTCGGATAGTCCATTGCTGTGATTGGCTGCTGGTACATGAGTGGAGGTATTTCTGTATAAATACCAGCTTGATTTATCAGTTAGTTTGCAGTGTTTGTGTTGAGTTACAACCTACTTTATTTTTGTCTGCCAGCTGGACGCTAGCTGGGACCCTTACGCCGGTAAGTGCTGTTTATTGTATTGTTATTCTACATCTGTAAACCGACAGGGAATGTGAAACTATTTCTTACTTGCCTGATCAGGCAGTTAGTAATAAAGCGACTCATAGAGATCTTTCGATCGATCGATCGATAAATAGATAGATTTTTCGTCTTCTTCTTTATTATGAAGCAAGATTACTTGTCCTTATACTATGTCTTTATTTCATCTTCCCTGCTTCTAGAAACTGCATTTCTAGCCACTACTCTCCAAAGATTTCTTCTTTTTCTAGAAACTAGATTGCTAGCCACTACACCTTAGATACTTATTGACATTATTTACATTTTTCGAACTCTTATCCCCATGTTCATGGCCATATTCACAACGTTTCGGCTGTTGTACGTTCCGGCATCTTCACGGACACATGACCCAGTGGATAAAGACTTTGGTTAGATCCAGTGACTAGACCCAAAGTTTTGTCGGTTCGATACCAGACTACAGCAGTGGTGAACCGAACAAAACTTAAAGAGTTGAGTTAAATAGAAATAGCTGAGACATCTGAAAGAGGCATGGCACGCGGAACTGGAACAATCTACCCCGGTGAACGAAATAAAGAGTTCGGTTCGAAATTCCAATCACCTGAAGAAGGCCGGAGCGTACATAATATATACATGAAGCAACTAATCTACCGCAGAAAGAAATGGCAACCTACTGCAGGAAAAAATCTGCATCGTCGGTCATGTATCCAAAGATACATGATCGCCTAAGCGTGTATCACGCATGGCACATAACTGACTAGGAGGCACGGATTGAGGAATCAGAGAGCAGAGTTCGTATTCCATTCACTTACGTGCTAATACCCTTGGAAAATGTATGAATCCTCTTCTTCTCCCTCACTCCAGCTACGGGTAAAGAGCAGGAAAAACCACGTTCTATAGCCTTGGATAGCAACTGGTCTACCCAGAAAGAAATGGCAACCTACTGCTGGAAAAAATCTGCCTCGTCGGTCATGTATCGAAAGATACATGATCGCCTAAGTGTGTATCACGCATGGCACATAACTGACTAGGAGGCACGGATTGAGGAATCGGAGATTACTAGACAGTCGTA